GAAATTAAAAGTCGTATGAGCAAACTGTAAATACAAAAAAGTTTCGTTTTGTCATTCTCAATAAGATGATATTTTTTTTAAATTCACACCGCTACGCCTCTCAGAGTTTCCAACAAAAATCATCCTGCAGTCAAAGGGTTGATTCGCGTAGAAACAGTTATTAAAATTTGTAAAATTTATTCTCACTTTTCGCTAATTTTACAATAATGAAATTTCAACTGAAATTGCATTCCTCGACTCCCTTGACATTTCTAGAATCGAGCATGATTACTTCTTCGAAGCTTCTGTTGCGAAGTTAGGATTAATGTTTTCATCCATATTTATGAAACAATGACAATAATCGTTCCATAATAACGCGTTAAATGTATTCGTCGATACATCATACAATTTATAAGTAAAATTCGGAAAATCAGATCTCCTGGAAGAGACGTGCAGAAACATGGCGAGCGAAATGAGTCAACTAAACCCAAGAGCGTGGAATTAAAATATAATTGTCGATAATGTTACGTAATTTCGTGTACATTAAACGTGAATTTTTCTCTCGACATTTTCTCCAGAGTTAACATTAAATGTTTGATGGCGAATATCGTAGCCAATCGACTTGGATGTACATGTCGGAGGTCAAATACAAAGCGATACATGCACCGTTTGCCTTTGCAGATTATATAATGGCTCCATCATTGAGTTCGTTTAAATCCGGTGCTATACTAATGCATTATTTAAATTTTTGTTACAGAGAAACCAAGAGCATCGTCGAGTTCACTATCAATGGATTGCCTTATACAGGTATACAGATACTCACCTGAATACATTTTATAAACTGTGGAGGAGATCAAGAAGAAGAAGAAGAAGGAGAAGGATTCTTTCTCTTTTTCCTGCGAACACATAATTATTTATAGTTTCTCACTTTTTCCCTGTGCGATGTGAAAATGCAGGAGTAAGAAAACGAATAGATTTAGTTATTTAGGTTACATAGGAATGTTAATATTTAATTATTCAAATTTTCTACGATCTTTATGACAGCATATAGCAATATAGCAATAAAGTAGAGAACCTAGGAATAGATTTAAATATCTTATTTAAACCTATTGAAATCAAATTTATTGACCAATTATTCAAACTTGCTCACTTTTTCATGGAAAATGTGACAGCAATGAATCAGAGAATCAAGGATTAGATATACAGGGTGTCCCAGAACTTCTGTAGAAGCCGGAAATATAGGTAGCTGAGACGATACTGAACAAGAATTTCCTTTGCGAATCGTCCCAGCTACCCCCCAATTGAATTATTATCATTAAAACTGTTGATCAATCGGTGCAATTTTGCCTAGTCACCGGAGATATACCACCTGGAACCTCCCTAAACGTTTTTATTCGCGACTATGCGAGGCTTCGAGGGACCAAAGCTATGTGCCACGAGGGTGGTTGTGGTGTTTGCATCGTGGCTGCGGATGTCAAGGGAGAGACAATGTCCGTCAACTCCTGCTTAGTGCCAGTTCTCATCTGCAATGGGTAGGATATACGAGAAAAGATTGTAATATTGGCTTGTAATTGGCTTTGTAAAGCTTGTAATATTGGCCCGAGTTAGGTATGGATTAGGTCTGGGTTAGTTTTCTAATATTGGTCTATCTTTTATCATCTTTTAGTTTATATTTATCGCTATCTACTTCAGACATCATATACATTAACAGTACTCAATATTGCAGGCTTCACCAAATACTATCCCAAACCTACTCTGACAGTATTTTCATGGAGAGAGTATATAGATTAACAGTAATCAATCAGACAGTATTTCCATGTAGATAGTGTGTACATTAACTGTATGCAATATTGTCCCTTCCTTACTCTTGATTGTTTGCGATACAGCTGGGCTATCAAGACCATCGAGGGCTTGGGCGACAAAAAAAAGGGCTACCACACGTTGCAAGCTGCATTGGCAAGTAAAAATGGCTCTCAGTGTGGATATTGTTCTCCTGGCATGGTAATGAATATGTACAGGTATCTTTGTTTACATTTTCTCTTCATCTACTGTTGTTGATCACGTTAGGCACCTAGATAAACAAAGTCCATTCCCTTTTAACGGGGTATTCTAGTCTATAGCATCAATTTTTAGTCCTTTTTGGGGATTCTTCTTTTCTTTATTCTTCTTATTTATAATATCAATTTATATGTCTTAAATATGACCTCGTGTATTAATTTTTAGAAATATTCACTTGAGAAAAGTTCCTGTAAAGTACAGCCGTTACCTCAAAGATTTCTCTGTGAAATAATTTGGAAAAATAGCAAAATGTGCTTTAACGCATACCTGAAATATTCTCAAAGTTTCAAAACAATTACATAAACGCTTCTCTGTAAAAATAAATATCCCAATCGAACACTTGGTACTTACTAATGTAGAATTTCCCTTGAAAAATTACTAACAACATTAAATAAAATGTAGTCTTCCGCATTCAATAATCCAGAAACTATTTTAATCCATAATTCTTTCGCAGCCTTATGCAGGGTAAACAGCTGACCATGAAAGAGATAGAAAATTCCTTTGGCAGCAATATTTGTCGTTGCACAGGTTACAGGCCAATCCTGGACACCTTCAAGGGCTTCGCTGTGGATGCGACAAAGGAGCTCGCGAAAGACATTCACGACATAGAAGTAAGCGCTGTACATAATATAATTTTAATCGTTTCAATGAGTGACTTATCCAATCTTTATGCAATTCACTTTCATTGTTTAGGAGTTGTACAAGATAAAGATATGCAAAAAGACTGGTCAACCTTGTGAAACTGGTAGCAATGGTTGTGCAACTATGTTAAATGCAAAAAGCAGGATCGACATGACGTTGGATGGGTCGCAGTTTCACAAGCTCTTGGGAATTGATGATTTGTTCCAAGTATTTAAAGAACATCCCGACGCTACTTACGTCCTGCACGGTGGAAATACTGCGCATGGTAATTGGTCTTTTCGATTGTTCCCAAAGAAATTTATTAACTCTTTGACTGGGGGAATTTAATGAAAATGTCATCTTATAGAGGATTCTAAGACGTAACTCGAGTCAAAGGGTTAAGAGGTTCCTTTCGAGCCCTTCTATAAATATATTCTTACTTTATTTGATTAAAATAATGTATCCACGGATGTACGTAAATACAAGTCGCTTATGTTACTTGGTTTCAGGCGTTTACCGATTAAAAGTGCCAGACATGTACATAGATATAAACGATATCCCAGAGCTACGTCGCATAAACAAAACGGACACGTCCTTGACCGTTGGCAGTAACGTTTCCCTCACAGTGGCAATGGAGAGTTTTAGGAAATATTCCAAAGAAACAAACTTTCAGTATTTGCAACATTTGGCCAACCACATCGACCTAATCGCCAGCGTTCCCGTGAGAAACGTAAGTATCTATGCACAGGTTGGATGTAGAGCCTCGAATGCAATTACATTCTCGGTTTTCTTCTCTATTTCGATTCAATTTTTATATCTATAATACGTTTTCAAAGATTTTATTTAACGTAAAGAACGATCTGTTGATCGCAGATTGGATCCCTTGCTGGAAACCTAATGATAAAGCATCAATACCACGAGTTTCCCTCGGATCTTTTCCTGATGCTCGAAACTGCAGGGGCGCAGCTACATATAGGTGAGCATATTCGCTTAAAGGCTTACACCACTTTGATCTACTTAAAGTACTCCCTCTATGTACTGTTGTAATGTGTAGCTATTATCAAACACCTTCGATCTTTTCTTTCCATGAACAGTGGAAGCAGGTGGCAAGAAGACCAGCCTCAGTCTCCTGGACTTCCTCCAGTTCGACATGAAACACAAGATCATATACAGCATCGTCCTGTTCCCCCTCGGTAGCGAATACGAGTACAGATCCTTCAAGGTACGTCTTCGCCTTAAAATCTACTCGTTCTGGATTCGATTATGGAAATGTCTACAAGAATCTGACGAATCTTTCACAGATAATGCCACGAGCACAAAATGCCCATGCTCATGTAAACGCTGGGTTTCTGTTCAAATTGGACGGAGCTGGCAAGGTCTTGGAGAAACCAAACATCATAATTGGTGGAATACGCGAGACCTTTGTGAGTAAAAAGCACATACACCGAGCCTACAAATATACAAAAATACTTGAGAATTAAATCTGTTCTTTTAGCTACATGCAACTCAAACGGAGAACTTCCTGGTTGGCAAGAACATCTTGAACAAGGACGTAGTTAGGGAAGCCATACAAAAGCTAGACAGCGAACTGCACCCTGATCATGTGCTGCCCGATTACACTCCAGCATTCAGGAAGACGCTTGCGGAAGGACTCTTTTTCAAGGTGTCAAGTCCTCGAGTTAATTATCCTAATATTCTTTGATATTATCAAATGATTAGAATGAAACGTAAGCATTATGCTTGTTTCTTTAGGGCTCTTTCTTAATGACTCTTGTTCAAGGTGTCAAGTCCTCGAGTTAATTGTCCTAACACTTTTCAATATAAAATATCCAAAAATAAGTAAACGATAGCTGGTTTTCGAAGATCTTTTAAAACAATAAGCATTAACGCTTCCTTCTTTAGTTCATCCTTGGTATCAAGCCAGAAAGCCTGGATGCTAAGATACGCAGCGGTGGACCTCTCCTACAAAGGGGATTGTCGTCTGGAAAACAGGACTATGACACAGATAAGAATATCTGGCCTTTGAACCAACCATTGCCAAAAATGGAGTCCGTGTACCAGACATCAGGCGAGGCACAGTACGTAAACGACGTTCCTCCTCTGTCGAATGAAGTCTTCTGCGCGTTTGTTCTCACCACGGTGCCTAATGGGAGGGTGGAGAGCATCGATCCTTCGGAAGCACTGGTACTTGTATTTTCACTGTGAAATTGCTTCGAGCTTACTATAATAAAAGACCGTCCTAGTTTAAGGAGGTATTCTAGTCTAGAGCGTCAATTTTAAGTTCCTTTTGAGGATTTCTTTTTTTTTTTCCACACAGCAAATCTACAATACCTAATGTTTCTTTAGATTTAATTTCTTTGGAGCTCCAAGTGTCAATAAAATGATTGTCGGTGAGGTAAAGATGACCTTATTCTCAAATCTAGATAGCTTAGAATTCACGGCAATAGAATGCTAAGAAATATCTCGAGTTGCTGGTAGATTCCAGAAAAAAAAGGCCTCGAATAATATAGACGTCCTAGCCTGTCCTAACCTAAGACGAACGTGACTCGAGTATGGAGAGAATTGAGTCGACGTATTACTTTCAGAAAATGAAAGGAGTAGTGGCCTTTCTTTCCGCCAGCGACATCCCTGGGAAGAACGCGTTCATCCCTAAGGATGCTCAGCAACCGATGATGTCCGACGATGAAGTGGTAAATCAAACAGCAAACTATAAAACTTGCCATAGGAGAAAATCATTGTCGATAGTTCTTAACTAACTGATTACTAACAATCGATTGCCTAACTTATCCGCTTTGATCCGTAGTTATTCGTGGACAAGAAAATCGAGTATGCTGGCCAGCCTGTTGGAGTGATCGTAGCCACTACGCATGCGCTTGCAAACGAAGCTGCAGGAAAGGTGCGCGTCTCTTACGCAAACGTGAATTTAGAGGAGATGGTGCTGACGATCGAGGATGCTATCGCCTCGAATGACCAGTCCAGGCTGCAGGAAATGGTCAACGTTACGGCAAAGACCAAAGGTGCGCGAACAGTAATCATTTCTGGAAGCTAACACCTGCTTTAAATATCCAAGAGCCCATCTCGCGCCTCTTAGACGACGCTTAGGCTCTCTAACCTTACAAGAACAGAACAGAAGTCTTCTGTTGTCCTGAAATACAATTAAATTAATCCATCCCCTTGATTTCAATATTTCTTAAACATAAACTTGTCGATATAAACAAACGCCATGTTTAAAACGCGGTATATTAAAGGAAACGACACTAAGCACGTGATAAGAGGGACCTTCCGATGCGGTAGCCAGTACCATTATACCATGGAGTCTCAGAGCTGCGTGTGCGTCCCCATCGAAGACGGATTGGACGTCTACCCGTCGACACAGTGGATGGATCTAACTCAAGTAGCCATAGCCTCGGTTCTAGCTGTGCAGAACAATAGGTAAAACAAGTAGACAAGTAGACTTAGTCAGAGCTCAATGTTCTCTTCGTGTTTCACTAACTGCAACGATCATTTCAGCATAAACGTGAACGTGAGGCGACTAGGTGGCGGCTATGGAGCAAAGATATCGCGCAACACGCAGATAGCTTGCGCGTGTGCCTTGGTTGCTTACAAGCTGAACCGACCAGCACGCTTCGTCATGTCCATAGAGAGCAATATGATAGCGATTGGCAAGCGGTACGACACTCGTCAGGAGTACGAAGTTGGCGTGGACGAGAACGGGCGTATTCAGTACCTGAACTCGCAGCAATGGGGCAACGCTGGTTCCAACTTGAACGAGGTCCACGCGCCCATCTTGGCGATGCACTTGGGAAGGTACGCTGAGTTTGAATCGATCAGAGACATATTTTGTTATCGAAGAATGAGAGTCTAAAGCTCCTTTTTGAAAGGGATCTTTTATATCTGCATGCATTGAGGTGATCAATAGATTCACCAGTTATTATAATTACTTGGGAAGGTACGCTGAGCTTGAATCGATCAGAGACATATTTTGTTATCAAAGAATGAAAGTCTAAAGCTTCTTTTGGAAAGGGACCTTTTATATCTGCATGCGTTGAGGGGTTACATGTTACATGCTTTTCGAGAGCCAAAAAGAAAGCAAGTTTTCTATAAATTTTGTCGAACAAACTAAATGAATTATATTATTTTAGCTTATATTGTTCGAAAAAGTAACATGTGAACAATATTTCATAAATTTTTCATAAAAAAGCTATTCAAAAATAAGCCTATGAGAGCTGGTCTTCGAAGATCTTTTAAAACAGTAAGCATTATGCTTCCTTCCCTTAGTTCATCCTTGATATCCTTTAGTTCATCCTTATAGAAAACCTGCTTTCTTTTAGGCCCTCGAAAACCCATGTAACCTCTTAAGGTGGCAGCAATAGACTCACCGGTTACTATAATTGCTGTATGTTAATTAATAACGCATGGAAATTTCCAGCTGTTACGACACCAGTACCTGGACGTACAAGGGTTTCGAGGCCAAAACCGATCTACCATCCAACACTTACTGTCGAGCACCTGGTACGCGAAATACTCGCCTTTCGTTTCTTACTTGAAAGATTGTCTCGATGAAAGGAAGAAGGAAGGAATCCTGAGCGTTTCGTAACTTGTTTATTTGCAGGCTCCACGGAAGCCGTTGGCATGACAGAAAACCTGATGGAGCACATAGCGAAGATGATCAATAAAGATGCGTTGGAAGTGAAGCTGCAGAATATGGACGCCACTCACAAGAGCATGCTGCAACCCATGATAGAGGAACTTACCAAGAACGCGGACTATCAGATGAGGAAGAGAGCCGTGGAAGCTTTCAACAGCGTAAGAACGTTGCTTTTCTTGTGTGGATTAAAATTATAGCCAGTTGAACTGCAAGGAATGCTTGCAATAGATATTGTTTAAATGAAAGGGAAACGGGGAAATCATCCCATATCCTACGTTTATATATAATATAGATACTACACTTTTGGAATTCCCACTCTGGGATTCCCACTCTGACAAATCTAGTTGTTTTCTCTAGAGCGTACCCCCCTCTTCCTCATCTCCGACGTCACACTCCTGCCTGCTCCACCGTCCATCGTCGTCGTTTGTCATCGTTGTTGCTCGTCGTCACTGTAGTCGACAGCTTTACTTTTACACGACTAATCCCGCAACCTCACGTTTCGTGTCGTCATTTTACTCCTTATTTATTGTTGAGTATGGGAGGCACGGATACTGAATTATTTAACGAAGTTTGTCGTGTTACAGGAGAACCGATGGAAGAAGAAGGGGATATCCATAACGCCCATGATGTATCCCTTCATGTTGTGGGGACAGTTCAACGCGCACGTTTCGATTTTTGCTCGCGATGGGACCGTCTCCATCGCACACGGCGGAATCGAATGTGGTCAGGGCATCAACACAAAGGTATAAGAAGGTACAATGAAATCTATATAGCTGAGAAACAGACTGGACGTTCTATTTTTCACGTGGCAGGTGGCTCAAGTAGCAGCGCACACCTTGGGAATTGATTTGTCATTGGTCACAGTTAAACCAAGCAATAATTTAACAGCGCCCAATGGCTCTGTCACGGGTGGCAGCGTGACCAGCGAGAGTTGCGCCTATGTAAGATGTTACGCTCCATTTCTAAGATGGATTAAAAGATATTTCTAAACTGCAGCATTTTTCGTTGTTTCATTCTAGGCTACGATGAAGGCGTGCCAAGAACTTACAAAGAGATTGGAGCCTATCAAGAACGAGCTGAAGAACCCTTCTTGGAAAGAATTGGTGATGGCTGCGTATCAGAAAGACGTTGACCTGTGTGCACGTTACATGTGAGTTCGTAGCAATCTATAAACAAAATTTATAGATAGAATAGTATTTGATAACAAGCAGGGGGATTGTCAAAATTCTGATTTTGAAGTGTCTCTCCTGTGACGTTAATCGAACGACTGACGATCAGGTGTTTTTTAACAAATATGGAGGCAAGGCATGTACATATGTCCAGGGATGGGATACAATTCAAATACTGTTATACATCAGGCTAGCCCTTGTTTCAATGAGTTCTGACATCTATGTGTTACGCACCCTCCTAAATACCCTACAAATACATACAAAAATATTCCTACAAAATTAGAGCTTTTAATTTTAACCTTATTACATGTCCCAAACCTTTGAAAGTTTTAAATGGAAGATATATAGAATTTTTTCAATTGGTTACTCCTTTTTCTTTAACTCCAATAAAAATTAACGAAAACGATATGAAATTTGGCGGAGTTGTTACATATAATAATAGGGAGAAGCCCCACAAATTTCAAATTTTTATCTCGTTTATTTTCTCGTATATCGGTCTAGTAAATATAAAGCTGTTTCCTCTACTTGAGGTATTCTTGTAATTTTATTGTACGTGTTTGCAAGGTATTTGGGGTATTTGTATACATATAGTCGATGTAAGTACTCGTACAGGAGCCATTTATTTTAAATTGGTTGCTGTACGAATACTTATTACACTGACTGTATGTACTATATTTGAATCATTTTCCAAATTTCATTTTTTATCCAATTATTTGTTCTCTGTAGGTTTACCGTGAAAGACGATATAAAGCCTTACGCGATCTATGGAGTGACGATAGCGGAGGTTGAGATCGACGTATTAACTGGCCAACACATTGTACATAGAGTAGACATAATGGAGGACGCTGGAATTAGTATGAATCCAGAGTTGGACCTGGGCCAGATAGAAGGCGCGTTCGTGATGGGACTCGGATATTGGACTTCAGAAGAATTATTTTACGATCCTAAATCTGGCCAACTGACGAATTACAGAACCTGGGTTAGTTCTCTTTGATAATGTCGATACTCTCTCTCTTTAATTATTTAACGAAACGATGAATGCAACTTTGAAAATATCTTATAGAATTACAAGCCACCTGGGGCAAAGGACATTCCGGTCGATTTCCGTGTATATTTTCGACGAAATGCACCGAATCCTATGAGCACGCTTCGCTCGAAAGGTAAAGCACAAATCGAGTAGATTATTCGAACGAATCGCTCTAAAGTACTTGTACTTGGTACATATATATTATTTATTATTATAGCAACTGGTGAACCGCCTCTCTGCATGAGTTGTGCAGTACCAATCGCACTTCGTAACGCCATCGATTCAGCAAGGAGGGATGCTGGAAACAACGATCCGTGGTATCAATTGGGTAAATGCCATTTTTATTTATCGCAAGATTGAATAAGAAAAGTGTAATCATTTGTTTTCTTGTAATCATATTCTTTGCAGATGGTCCCGTTACCACAGAGAAGATATTGCTAAACAGTTTAACTTGCAAGGAGCAAATGGTGCTTTGAAATACGCGTTTATATTTTAAATAAGATCAAATAAAACTGTTACTATTAAATCCCGAATTTCCCATCTCTGGTACGACTACCACCTAGTTCTTAGGAGATATAATAAATACCCTAAAAGAACAGTCTATCTTTATAGTAACAAGTAAGTCGTTTACCTCTCTTTTTTGTATGTATATTTATCTATGGTAAATGTTTTAGGAGTCAATGGCTACCAATTAACACACGTTGACTGCCAAACAAATATTCTTTAAAGTTTCTACTAAAATGAAATATTATTTAAACTATTGGAGACTGCATAATCAAACATTCATCGTCGTATTTATTCTTGTAATTTCATCAAAATTCATGAATTTGGTTTAAATTCATTTCCTTTGATGCTTGACATTCGGAATTAATTTCGTTACTTCTTTAGTGGAAAGCACATGGCGATCAACGTGTTAAAGCATAACAGAAATTATAATTAACAGAAGAATTATCATAGAAGTATCGTGAATGAGAAAAGATTATAAAATTTATTATCTTTCATCTTTCGTAAAACTTATCGTGAATTGGTAAACCTTTGTACGTAAATTCCATTAGATCGAATACACATTAGCTACGGTACCTCTTAGACACGACGCGCCACTATACAGGGTGTCCCAAAAATGTTGGAGGTCCTTGAAAAGGGTGGTCCGGGAGGTGATTTGAAACAACTTTTTCCTTAGCGAAAATCTTGTTCGAGGCTTCGTTGAGGAGATATTAACGGAAAACACTGACCAATAAGAGCGCGAGTATACCGGTGGAGCGACCAATCAGAGCACGAGTATACCGCACTCCCCGACCAATCAGAGAGCGCGGCCGTTTGGCGCGTAGCCTTTGCTACCGCGGGCGCTCCATCGATCATACTCGCGCTCTGATTGGTCAGTGTTTTCCGTTAATATCTCCTCAACGAAGCCTCGGACAACATTTTCGCAAAGGAAAAAGTTGTTTCGAATCACCTCCCGAACCACCTCTTTCAATGTGTTACAACATTTTTGGAACACATTGCATTATAATATTAACGGAAAACACTGACCAATCAGCGAGCGCTCCATTGGCATACTCGCGCTCTGATTGGTCGGGAAGCGTTACCATCTAGCGCGCAGCCCATTCAGCTCTATCTAGGATAGAACTCAATGCTCTAGTTACACTTTCCTTCTTAAGGTGCCAAACCTTGTTATCGATCACAGAATAGAACCTAACTTCGTTCCACTCCGATTGTTTATGTTCTTGCATTGCTCCGTGTCGATGAAATTTATATTTACATGACAATTTCACGAAATAGACGTTCGTTGTTGTACAAAAAAGTCGCAGCTTTGCAGGGAGCTTACTATTTGATGTTATTGTAACGGATTGTCAAGCTCCTGGTGCAAATATGGTGTTAACGAAGGAATACCGTATATGTATGCCGCTTACCACTGAAGAGGTAATTTATTTTGTTGGATTAATCAATTTTTTGAGGTTAACATGTATTAATTGTATTCTTGGATGAATATTATCCATCAATTTATAGTTTCTATTTAAACTAACACTACGAACCCTTACCGATACAAACTATCAGTAATTCCTGAAAAAACATGATTTCTTAATAAATATTCTCTTTTGTTATACCTAATGCCAAGAATCCTCAATACACACTGTTCTTACACATTCATTTACCTCATATATACAAATCAAGAATCGTTAATCAAAGCCTCGATATAAAAGAGCCTACACGCGTTGAAATAGAAGATTTCAGGCAATGTTGCCCTGTTAGATTTTTTGGCTAACTTATATATTTCTCCACAGTATCGCATAGGACAACTCTACATGATCGCAAGACACAGCCACGAGCAGTCCGACAACGACGGAGGTGTTGAAGTGATTGAAAATGTGGAGTGCGACCACCCCGAGCATGGGAAGGGCCAGTACACAGAAAAGAGGATTCATTTGTCCAGGTGATTCTTACTGTACCACTTCCTGCTTTGCTTTAGGATTTCATGGAGATAGATTCCAATTTTTTGATTCTTTATTATTATATTCCAGTAAATTGCCGTATTGGATCCAGTCTGTCATCCCAAGAATATTTTACGTAACGGAGAAGGCGTGGAATTATTATCCTTACACCATTACAGGTACCACGATTAATCAAATTAATTAATTAATCGCTGGTCTTGAACTAAGTATGTAATGCTAGGGAAATCAATGTCTGATTTCAACGTTCTTGGAATTTAATCTTGTTTGCATTGATCGACAACAGAGGAACAGTTAATTTTCTCTAGGATTACCTACGTAATACAATTAAAATAGGTAGCAATAGTCATCGATACCACAGTTCCATTAATAATAAAAGTATATTATTTTTGCATGTTATCGATGGCGACCGAAGAATACACAGTAAGTATCGATATCTCGCTAGGATCTCGAATTTCTCGTTACATATAATTCTGTCTTTCCAGTGTTCCTTCATTCCCAAGTTTCAAATATCAATTAAAACTCGATACGAGGACAACAATGGGTCCACGGAAAATGTATGTGAATCAGTCTGATACTCGATATTCTAAAAATATCGTCACGCTGTTATTAATATCGAATTTAAAATAGGTCTTGGGTCTCTCTCCTATCGAGCTGATACACCGCGAGGTTGATTTCGTTGATATCGCGTACGATGAAGTCTCATCAAAGCATTATAAGGAGGAAGAGGTATCGTTAGCTTGTAATTTTATTTATTATTTTTCCCACAAGCACTATCTGTAATTGGTTTTAAATTCCAGGATCCAAAATTCTTTCAATCCACAATTACTGGTCGTGGACCATTGATAGAAGGGTGGAGGGAAACCACGCAGCCAATAATGTGTTCGTACAAATTAGTTCATGCTTCCTTCGAGGTTTGGGGCATGCAAACTCGAGTGGAAGACTTCATTCATAGGGTAATACGTTTAACCAGGAATTTTATTAGTAAAATTGTCCAGTATAATCGTTGGATGTGTAACTTCTTATACGTCAGGGGAAAAATCTAATTTTCAATCTTCTCCGTACAGAAAATATATACAAAGTTTGTCTCTAAAATGAAAAGTCAATTTTAAAAGAATCCAAATGCTTGCAGTGTATAAGGGATATCCTCTTATTGGGTCATCGTCAGGCATTCGCATGGATCGACGAGTGGTACAAGATGACACTGGAGGACGTTAGGCAGTACGAACAAAAAATGCAAGCAGAAACAAACGAGAAAGTACGGATCAGAAACGAGGGTAACGAGATACCGTCGACTCCTACCACACCCACAGCATCGATGCCATCTTCACCCAAGTCTCCCACGCAATCAGCTCGATCGTGGTTCTCCTGGTCGTAGCCGTAATCCTAAAGAAATTAGATCACCGCTAGCCTATTTAGGGAAGATAATTAAAACTGCAAAATATCATCATGACATCCTCGACCTTTTGTGTGTATATATATATATATATGTATATGTATATGTGTATTCATGGTATAGTCAGGTCACTGTAACTAAAACATCATTTTTATTTAAAACTTAAGGGTTCCTCGAGAATTTCTTAAATTTTGAATTAGATGCTCCACATCTTCTTCGAGAATCATTTATTTCGCAAGGTCATGTGTTGATAATGTTGAATATTTGCATAGTTTAATTAATCCGTGTTGTTAACATGAAGGTTTCTTTACTTCCAGCAATTGCTCTTCTAATTGCTGCGATAAGGTACTAATTATATTCTCATCGAACATGGACAAGCTCAGTTTGTTAAAGCATTTATGGAAAAATTATGTCACGTATAGTTCTTCAATTATGGCGAGTGTTGCGTAACATTAGCAAGACTTTTATAGCATTCGATGATGCTTATTTGTAAGCTCGAAAAGCTTTCGCTGTGAAATATCAGAGAAGCGAGGTATAACACATCGCAAGACTTGGATCGTAACGAAGTACTGTGATTGCACAAAGATATACGTATATTAATCTTCTACAATCTTACAGCATCAATTGTGTTCAGTTCATTTGGTATTGGAGCTTCTCTCAGTAATTTAGTCGTAGTGTTTTTTTTAATTGCGAGGAAAATTGTATATAGAGAATTAACGAAGGTGAAGAAGTATCATTTTTTATTTCTACAAGCGATTTCCTTTAATAAAATTATAGTTTTAAGTTGAATATACAGAATGAAAAGCGCAGAGTTTTAATTTTACTTTTTTTTCTAAGATCAGTGAATTTTTTCTTGAAAGTTCCATGGGACCAAAAGTGTTGAAACGAGAATTCATGGACTGCACACTGATAAATGCACAACGTGCCATTGCAATGCCTCATAATATTAGAATTGTTATTAATTACATCATATGCGACATATTTAAGACTGTGTTTCGTTTACAAATATTCATTAGGGAGTATTTAATTGCCTGGTCTATGTACATGTATTTAAATAAATGTTTTGAGCCCTTCTTATCGCAAAGCCGAAGGTATCGTAAAAATGGTGTAGAGTCGTATAAAAACTTTTTCGGAAATAACTTCTTAAATATTGATTTATCGAAAAGTACGCAGGAGAACATTTTTGTAGCAAATTAAATTGTCTACAAGAAAGTCTTATGACTCAAGTTCGTACAAATTATTTGAATTCTCAAACATGGCGGCCATCTCGTTGCGCCTGCGCGTTGCAAAAAGCTGAACACGCAGTGCTGTAGCTATAGGAAACAATATATGATCCCATAGCAACAGTTGGTGCCAAAACCAGGAAAAACCGTTCTTTTTTAATTATAGAAGATGTGTTTTCTCTGTAAAGTTATTTCCACCTCTATGCCTATATTATAATTTATCCACATAGTAAATATTATTGCATGTTAAGCAGTATTTCTAATTTTCATTTACAATTCTGTTTTTCTTTGGGGCGACCAAGGGCACCAGTTTTATGGTCGTATTAGATACTTTACTGACGTTGCAACTAGTGCGCATCCGCAACTAGGAACAGACTTTGGCATTACTAAATTGAATAATTATTCATTGAAATGGTAAATTTAAGACATTAATTGATGTATGGTAGCGTTATAAAGCAAAGAATCATGTTAATAATGCATTTATGGCAAATAAAATATACAGGGTGTCCGCTAGATGCCCGCTCTCGTACGCCAC